TTTTTTAGTAAGTATTATATTAGATTATTATAACTATTAACTAATTTAATATTTTGAAAAGAAAAAAAAAGACCAACGATGGTCTGTTTCACTCTTCAAGAAGAAGAATATTTGGATCTATTCCATTCCACTGCTCAAGAAAAAGAACATTTGCATCTGTTCCATTCCACTGCTCAAGAAGAACATCTGTTCCACTCCTCAAGAAGAAGAACGTTGCATCTGTTCTACTCCTCCAGTTCGTCGCTTTTGCTGGTGCTTCTTATTCTTCTTCTTATTCTTCCTCTTCCTCTACAGAATTTTGAATCCCCTTCATTTCATCTCATCTAAGCCTCTCTCTCTCCTACAAGTTACAAAGTTGTGAATCCCTAAATTAATTTTTCTGTTGGTAGATTGGGGAGATTCCAAAATCCAAAGTGTGGGCTTTTATCAATTGAAGGTAATTTTTTTATGATTTGATATATCAAATGAAAAGGGAAATATGATTTTTTTTTGTTTATTTGTCGATTTGTGAACTCATGAAATTACATATTCTCTTTGCAGGGATTCTTTTAAGCTCTAATTGATTGCAAATTTGTTTATGTGGAGAGCGATTTCTCAAAGGGGGTTTCTCAAATTCCAGGTTATGTTGTTTTTTATTTATTCTTTGAAGTATTAAAATTGCATTGGCTTTCCTTGTATTGTTTCTGTTTTCGGTGTAACAATGTTCCCTAAGAAACACCCATCTGGAAGTCAGAAAAGAAAAAAAAAAAAGACAGAGAGAAGATTTAACTCAATCTCAAAAGGGTGCTCTGGATAAATTTTTTCAAAACAAAACAAATAGTTCACTTGATAACTCAACTGAAGATTTAGTCAATGAATCTGAGCAGCAAAATCATGTTGAAGAAATTGTAGGAGTTAACTTCATTGGGTGATGAGGAATTGAAAAATTGTTGTCTGAAGCTTGAAACTACTTTAAGAAATGGTGAGTCTTCTGATGTTGATGCAAGTGATTTGTTTTCAGAGTTACAGGTGCTGCAATATCTTTTACCATCAGCAGTAAACACAACACTTGAAATTGTAGAGTTTGTAAAAGATATGGATTGTTTTCCAAATGTTTTGATTGCCTATAGAATACTATTGACTGTACCTGTGACTGTAGCATCTGCAGAAAGAAGCTTTTCTAAATTAAAATTATTGAAATCTTACTTGAGGTCTACCATGTCACAAGAAAGGCTAAATGGGCTAGCAATCTTATCCATTGAAAAGGAGATGTTAGAAAAGCTTGAATTTGAAAGCATCATTGAGGATTTTGCTTCTCAAAATGCAAGAAGAAAATCATTTACATAATACCTTTTCAGTTGTGATTTTGTTGTTTTTCACCTTATCTTGCAGGTGGTGATGTTGATATTTTGCTGGTTGCTGAGGATGCAAAGAGATTCAAGTAGGCTGCTGCACTTTGCTTTGGCTATTGAGAATGTAAAGACATTTTTGTTTTGCTGGTTGCTAAGGATGCAAAAGGGTTTCATATAGATTGATGTTATTTTGCTTAGGCTATTCAGCATGTAGAGAATTTTTTTCTTTTGGTTGGTTGCTTGTTGGTGGATGAAAAAGAACTTATTTTGCTGGATGAAAAAGAACTTATTGAATTGTTATAAGTATTTATCTTGTTTATACATTGTAGCCTTTTATTCTAAATTTTAATATATTGAAGTTTGAATCGATGGACAGATTAGATCTTGGTTGAAAAATAAGAGAGTTATCACTAAGTTTAAATATATATAGGGCCTAATTTTTACTTTTGCCCTGGGCCCTGAAAAATTCAGGACCGGCACTGTCTCTGTACCTACCTGTACGAGTTTGTCTGTTTTTTCTGTGATGAGGGCTAGGGAACTAAGTGGTGATCAAGTCCTTACTGTTCTTGAGCAATCTTTCTGGAGACTTGTGCTCACTAGTTTTTCTAGTGAGTGTCGAATTTGCGTTCTAGGTTTTGTTGATAAGGCAAAGGAGACCATCCTGGAGGGGTCTCCCAAGTCTCCTTGATGTGCTCGCTGGAATGTTTGTGGGCTTGGCATCCAATAAAGCTAGAGGCCAATCTTGATCCCCTTGCCCTATCGAGTATGGGTCTAGATTAAGATTCGAGGAGTTGGTATTTAGTATTTATGGTCGCTATGTTCTGACGATCACGACACGTTGTTCTGTACCTCGAACTATGCGTGCATAGGAGGTTTTCTTTGACAATATTACGTCGTCGTGGTTGCTCTTCACGGGGCTTAGAGTTGTGTTGTGTTTTGTCTGTTTATTTCGAGTTCTTTGTAGTCCAAAGTGACCTGTGTCAGACTCTCTTGTTAGTCCATGGCATGTGTAGTACTCTTTCCTACCTTTTGATTTGTCCCATGTAGTTTTCCTTGGAATGTTTTAACCAGGCCACTGTATTCGTGCTAGTCTTTGTATGCCTTTTTGGTTTATGAGGCCATCTCTAAGTGAGGGCCAATTTCTAAATTATAGCCCTAAATCCCCAAAACCCATCTCCAAGAGTGGGCTACACAAAGGGTAACAAAAATAGGGACGGCTACACATAGGGCCAATTCCTAAATTGAGAGCCACATGTGGCCCTTTGGCCACTCCCGGGCTAAATATTTGGATGGGGCCTAGCTAACGTCACCTAGCATTTAGGTGATGCCAACCAATTTTTTTTTTTAATTTGAAAAAAATGATTTTGAAAAAAATTTCTAAAAAATTCCTATTTTTTTTTGTATAAATACCTACCTCATTCTTACATAATTTCTCACAACATGTTCATCATTTTACATATTATCCTTCCTCAATTTCATCCTTCTACATAATTTCTCACAATCTCTTCATTCTTTTTTACAAACTATCCTCCATCTTTTTCTATTTAAATTAAATTGTAAGTTGGTTTTAAAACAAGATGAAGACTTGAACATGACAATGTATTGCCAATTATTATTAGTTACAAACACCAAAGTTGTTTTTAAAACAAGACGAAGACTTGAACGTGATAATGTATTGTCAATTATTATTAGTTGCAAACACAAAAGACTAGCAAGAGCTCTCCTTGATCGATTTAGGTCAACCTCATTATCGTTGGAATCTCCACCAATGTAGTCATCCCGTTTCCAAAATAGGGCTAATCACCAACAGATGGATGTAAAAAATCCTATCCCAAAATATATATTTTTTTCTAAAATGTATTTTAAATAGGATATAAATAGTAGTTTAATTAAATTAACTAATAAATTTACATAATATACTAAAAATTATTAAAATGTAGCCTGACACTATTCTTATAAAATCATTTTTTTGAGGGCTAAATGTAACCCTCTTCACTTGACGATGGCCTAAATGAAATCTTATTCTTAAAAGAAATTGATTTTTTATTTTATTTTAAAATTTTCGTCATAGTAACCTCTAAGAGCACTTCCACCGCAAGGGGGAAGGGCAGGCAAAAGGGGGCCCAGGCCCAAAAAACTCCTCCAGCACTTAAGGTCCAACCAGGGCAAAGGGTGGGACCCACCAACTCAGGCAAGTCCACGCGCAAGAATTGCCTAGGCTGTGGCCCAAAGGCTGCTGATGTCAGTCGTGACGTCAGCGTGCTGACACAAACCAACGGGAAGAAGCCACATGGATTTTTCACTTTCCACACCAAATATTTTTCTCCTTAGGGATTTTTAAAAAATACCAAAAAATTCTAAATTTTTTTTTATAAATACCTACCAATATTATTCACTTTCCACAACAAATCTTCATACAAATTCTTCTCCTTCAAATATTTTTCACTTTCCACACCAAATATTTTCTCCTTCACTAAATTCCATTTGTGTCAAAAAATAAATGGCCTCTTCCATTGAAGCCGAAGGCACATGGACAACCGTTGAAGAGATTTTGTTGTGTGAGTGTTGGGTCAAAGTTGGTCATTGCCCGATCACGGGCAATGAGCTGAACTTCTCTCATATGTGGAGAAAAATTCATGGAAAATTTTGTGAAAGATCAGGTTTGACTCGGACGAAAATGGTCTTGGCTAGTAGGTGAAATTTTTTGAATAAAGAGTTAGGGAAATGGAGAGATGGGTTGGCAAAAGCGAGGGAAATGGTTTGAAGCGGTGAAAATCTTGGCGACGAGGTAACAAATTTTTAATTTCCGTTTTATTCAATTTAATGTCATTTATATATATATATTCTTGAATTTCCAATTTTTTTTTTTAAAATAGATTCTTCATCACAACTGTGGTTTTGTGCCATTGGCCAAGGTAATAAAAGATTCAAAAATCACCAATATTGAGATGTTGTGAAGAATTGTTCAAAATTCACTACACGTGGTTCGTTCAATTGTGTGAAGAAAACCATTACACATGGCCCCTCAAGTGAACAATGCCCGCAATCCGTTCCCGTGGTGGCGTTCCGTGGAGGAAATAATGACACTATTACATCCTCCGAAAGAAAATACTCCCCCACGTCGTGATCCAATGGAACCACATCCGCCAATGATTGAGTCGTTCTTGTACTCGATTATGTTGGATTATGAGGACCGGGAGTATTTCAATTGTATGATGAGTGAGATGTGAATTTTATAATAAATATGGACACGTGGCAACCGAAAATCTTACCCGGAAATTTTATCTGAAATTTGAGATGTGAATTTTATAATAAATATGGACATGTGGCAATTGAAAATCTTATCCAAAAATTTAATCCAAAAAATTAATTTGAAATTTGAGATGAGAATTTTATAATAAATAGTGACACGTAACAACCGAAAATCTTATCAAAATTAATAGTTTAAGTATAAAAAATAGAAAATGAATTAAAATGAATAGTAATTGCCCATGCCCTTGCCCTTTGGAGTGGAAACAAAAAAGACAAAGGCTACCACCATTCACTTGAATAGTGACAAATCTTGCTTTGCCTTTGCCTTGCTCTTGCCTTTTGGGGTGGAAGTGCTCTAACATCACTTGCATCAGAAATTTATCATCCATTGCTTCTTATGATGCACCCTACCCCATGCAATCATAACTACACTCTAAAACCCAAAATCTCTTCTACCTCACTTAAACCCTAAACATTCGCACTCCGTCACTGACTAGTTCACAAAATGTCCGAAACGTTACCGGAACTCCCAATCCTCCGCGGGTACGAGCTGCGTCTCCTCCGCTGCACCCTCCAGTCTCCGGCGTCCGATCCCTCACCCCATCCCCAACCGTCCGATCATGCCCACCCAACCCACCACCTCCACCTTCTAATCAACGACCTCTTAACTTCCATCGAGTCGGGCCACTACCTCCAAGCCCTCACCTCCCCCGACGTAAACCGCGTCGTTTTCAAACTCGCCGAGTCTGACTCGCTCGACTCGCTCGGAGACTCGGCGGAGTGCGCTGACAGAGTGTACTCCGAGTTGCTGGACCGAGTTGAGTCGTTTATATCCAAGGAATGCGAAGAAGAAGAGAATGATAGTGGCAAGGACAAGGCCTACAGAGTCATCGTGGTTCTGTGCATTGCCGTGGCTGCCTTGTTCGGTTTTGCTCAATGTAACTTGACTGGGTAAGTTCAAAAGTTAAAAAGAAAAAAACTTGAGTTAAATAAAAAAATTTAATTGAAATTTTTTTTTTGGGTTAATTTTAAATATTGGGAATTTGGAAATTTAGACCGTTGGAGGGGTTGCCAAAGTGTCCTCTGCCGCTGGAAGTGCCTCAATGTGATGAGTGGGAGAATTGGGCGCGTAATCAGCTTATGGCTGCTGGGTCTGACTTGCTTGGAAAGTTATCCAATATTCAGGTACTGCCTTTTCTATTTTTGGGATTGTTACATTTTGCCAATTAATTTATGCTTGGACTGTTTTCTTAATATAGGCCCAGAACTTTTCATTTCTGTATCAATTTTGCCTATTTTCCGTGTGCGATGACTTCTTTGAAAGTTCACGCAAATTATGAGCTTGGTTTAGTTGCATCTTTCCTAACTTATAATTATAAGTAACTATATGTTCAAATTCTGAATGATTGTTATTTTTAGTTGTTTTACAAAATCGCACTTTGATATGTGAATTGGTGTTGTTTTGTAGTATATAGTTTATGCAAAGATGCTGGCCGTGAAGATGAAAGATTTGTTATTTGACGGAAGTGTGCCTTCTACATATGGAATTAGGAGCATTTCATGGTGGCTCATTAGGATCACCCTTCTCCATCAAAGAATTCTTGATGACCGGTCTTCTTCTCTGTTCAATCTTTTGCAAGTCTTTACGAGTGAAACTTTGAATCATTTTGGCACTTTGGAGAAAGTAACAACTTATTGGGGTAACAATTTACGTAATGGTGAGGGTTCGTCACTTGTCTCAATGATTTATCTGGAAGCTGGAATAATGGAATACACCTATGCAAGAGTTGATTCATGCAGGTGAGTTGTCAAGGATATTTTTTTTTTTGGCATTTTGGTTAGTATGCTCCAACTAAACATCTTATTAGAAATAGCATTTAAAAAAACCATCTTATTAGTGAATAATAATCTCCTATAAAGAAACCATCTTATTAATGATCGTATTAATATGTCATTATATATAATGTATGCTGTGAAAGGTCTAACTTGTTTCCAAATAAAGTTTAATTGATGTCTCTTGTTAATTCCTCCACTGGACTACAAGCACTTGAGCTTTATTTTTATTTTTTTGGTTTGCTAAAATAAGCAAGTGAAATTTTCAATATTTCACTTCCATGGGAGGTTGCTAATCAGTAGAAGTTTTCATCTTCCTGTCATGCTATGTTTTGTTGGTTTACTTTGATCTAAATTTGTTACCTGCTCTGATGTATATACAAATGGTTAAATTTAGTACTTTGAATAAATAATCAAGGAGATTGTACTTTTATCTGCATTGGTCAGAGAACTCTTTTTTCTTTCTTTATTTAATTTAATTTTATACAAAGGCTTCAAAAGAATAAAGTTAGTGAAATAACCATTATTGTTGAACAGTGGACATGTAGTCCACCAACAAAGCAAAAGAGCAATTCTAACCTTCTAATCACACACAATTACACAACAACATGATGCACATAAAATTCAAGAGAGAAGCCTGAAAGTGCAGGATTCTGCTCCTCCCTCAATTTTTCCTTCAAGCATTCTACCTTTCCTTTCTAACCAAGCCACCCAAAAGTTTGCCTACATGCTGCAATACCTCAATATTTTTGCCTTTTTCCTGTAGAAAGCTCTCGAGAGTTCAAACACTGATTCTCAGTTGATGTCCAAAGTTGCTGGTCTTTACAGTGATTATAATAGCTATCAATATGGTAGTAAGGCCTAACTAGGTGAGTGTCAAGCTATGATCCTCGTTTCATAAAATAATGAAACAATAGTTTATGTAAAACCTAACATATATAAGTTTAAAGTTTATGCAGTTCCTTTCTTTTGTGGTATGGAGAGAGGTTGGTGAAAACTAAAATTTGTTAAGGATAGTTTTAGTTCCAGTATTATTATCAAACAAATTCAACATTCAGAGAATTTTTTTTTGCACCATAAAGTTGTTTTGTGTCTCCATATTTTGTGAACTCAAATGGTGTGTGTGTGCGCGTTGGCTGAATGTCTTCACTTGCTTTTTGTTTTTTGTTTTAATTCCATTGTTGATTGGTTTCATAAATATTCCATAATTGGAGTCTTTATTTGGATGCTGATTAGGCTTTTCTTTTACTCCCGTTATTTCATTTTATTTGCTGAGGCTCCTTTGTGGTATCAGGCTACATTTTGAATCAGCTGAAGCAGCAGCTGGTCTTCAGCTTTCTGTTACAGGTGTTCTTGGCTTCCGTACTGTACATCAGGTAAATGTTGAATGCATGTAAAAAGAATTTTATTATTTCTGTTCTTTTAATATCAAAACTACACTTCTTAGCTTTACATTTTTTCCCTAAAGGTAGAACCGAAGGCACAAATGGTACTTTTAGCAAACCCAACTTCTTCGAAGAGCAGTGGTAGCTGCGTCTCAGAAAGCCCTGGCTACCAGACAAACAATTCTAGCATTGGCAATCTGCATCCATCTGAAACCTATGAGGCCTCTGACATATTGATGACCCCAAAATTGTTAGGGAATGATAGCAATTCTGGAATTATTTCAGAAGGCATTCAAGTTGGTGGTACTGCTGCTGTTCCTTTGAGTGCAGTCCATCAGGCAGTGATCCTGGCTAAATGCCTTCTAATTGAGAAGGGTACACGACATGATGAAATGCAAAGTAAGTTTTCTTATCTATACATATGTAGTAATGTTACCCGTATTCACAATATTCAAGCAGGGCATTAACAGAACTTAATGTCTACTATTTTTTTTTCAATTTTATTATTGGAGCACAATAACTTTCTTACTACGTACGGTTGAGTCTATAGTCTTTGATGTCTCAGCATCCCAATCTCTGTTTCAGGATGGGAAATGGCTCCTTACATAGAGGCAATTAATTCTCAGCAGTCGTCATACTTTATTGTAAGTATAAAATCACAACATTGTATGGTTTTTGAATTTCAGTATATTTTCCATTTTTATTGAATCATTCTTTCTGATAACAGTTTAAGAATTTCAGTGTTCAACATATCGTAAAAGTTCAATGACTTATCTCTTATATTGTTAGAAATGAAACTTTTCTGGTTGGTAAGCCAATAGTCTTTTGGAAGTCTTCCAAGCGCCAACTGAACCAGCTTAAACATGCTGCACTAACAGATATATTTCTGTTAACTGTTAACAACAGCAAACAAATAATAGTGTCGAAGACACCATTCATGTTAAGACTTCGACTATCGAGTATGAAAGGATTTGTTTTTTTTTAAGAAAGGAAGCCATTCTGCCATACAAAGTGGATCTTTTTATATAAAAAAAACATATAATATAGAGTAAAATATGAACATATGGAGGGAGAGTAAAAAAAACATATAATTTAAGCTTCCCTCATCGTCAAAGGGAGAGTCCTGACAAAGTGACATAATTTCCTGTCAGAGCCTTTGCCATATATAGGCACTATAGTAGCTTTCTAGACCATGTAGATATACAAGTACAAGGCCTTGAACTACGACAATCTGAAAAGGTCATAAACCCTCTTTTAGATATACATTTCTGATGACTCCTGCTGAAACATTTCTTCATAAAACTCCAATAAGCGAACTGCAATGGAGTCCACTGTATGCCTAGAACTTGTCTTTGATTTCTTGTTTATCATTATGTTAATTCTTGAACCTTGCATTTGCATTTCAATCTTTTATACCTCTTTCAACTAAGCAAAAAGAGCTGAGAGAACTTTAATAATTTGACTTGCCACTTTCTATATCCATTATCATGTTTTCCCATAATAATTGGTGAAACCTTCAAATCCTGTTTCTTCCTTGTACTTCATAAAAGTTTCATACAAGGATTTTATTTCAAGAAAATATTGTTTGAAAACTTTTGAAAATCTCTGATAAATTATAAATCCCCACTTTCCACAAGCTCTAATAATTTCATCAGATTTTGCATTGTCCTTTTTAGGCTCCTATACTCAACAAGTAATGGCTATACTGTACCCCGTGAATGTGTTTCATGACCCAACTCACACTGAGATAAGGCTTCTCTAATGCCATTTGTCTGCATCAGGTCCAGAGTCCATACCACATGACCTTGCTTTATATTTTTGCTTTTGTACTTTCAAGTCTTCACGTATCTGGCATAAGTTACCAAGGGGCCAAATATTTTTCTTACTAGTAATTCTGTGTTCTGGCTGGGAACCTACTCCTTTTGAACTTACTAAGGTCAGTCCATCAAACAAACAATTTCAGTATCCCAAAACTATGTAGTTCAGCCCATGGAATGGATCATATCTTAATTATTGCACCTTGAGAGTGTCCATAAGCTACTTTTATGATCAATGACACATCTTTTGTATCTAATAGGATAGGGCTGAACCTCCCAAATCACTCTGCTTCTCTCTAATTAGGTTATTGCACACATTGACACGAGAGATGAGAGATGAGAGATGAGAGATGAGAGAGGGAGGGAGTGAGGGAGGGAGGAGAGGAGAGATTTTTGTACTGTGGACTCTTCAGTGAGATTGATATATTGTTGACCTAGATTTCCTTAATTTTGAGATTATTTAATGTGGTAAATTTCTTTTCTTTGTATCAGATACGATGTTTCTGTGACATCCTACGGATTCGGTGGGAGTCAACACGTAGTCACACAAAGGAACGTGCATTGCTGATGATGGAAAAATTGGTATTACGTAGCATCTTTTCTTAAGATTTTGAACTTTTTCTTTGGCATAATTTCTGTTCTTCTCGATCAGAATCTTTTTCCTCCAGTTTTCTAAATGGATCCAGCTCTCAGGATCCATGCATTTCCTTTTTAAGTCTCATACTTCCATGTTAATTGGTAGCTGAAAAATGTTAAAACACAACTAGACATGGGGGTGAATCAAGTTTTACATTAGTTAAAACACTCTTTCTAAGGAATAGTTGGGTAAATCTCATGCAAAATTGATCCAATTATAAATATAATATGCACTTCATACACATATAGTATAACCGCATGAACACACTATTATGTAGAGGCAGAAGCTGGCTTTGGCATGCAATTTTTTACTATTTACTGATGCTAAAAAAGATTATGAACTTGGTCTCGTCGTCTGAAGTGGTTACTTAATTTCTCTGATGCCAGATGTAGACTTACTACCATTGTTAGACGTATAATAGCTTAGTTTATTTTATATTATTTAGAAATGAGCACTGTTTTGATATCTGCTTCTCTTCATGTGGTTCTGGCTTTCAAAGATCAATGCTCATGCTCATTTTATTTTCGAGCTCTTGTATTTCAGTTAACCCATTTACTTATTGAGAGTTCGTTTTACAGCAGCAATGTTTTTTATTATTATTTCAGGTTCAGGGTTTCTATGACCCTTCTCCAGGAGTGGTGGAAAGGATTCTTTTCTGCTATGGCGTTCAAATTCCTACCATTCCTGCCCTGCGGAAGTATATCTTCATCTTACATTGATGAGGAATTTTATTGTGGCTTTCTATATTCTGCTATCTGTTGTTTCTTATTGACATTTCTTGTTCTTGTCTATTTCGGATTCATTTTAGGGAATATGGTGAACTTTTAGTTGGCTGTGGTCTTATAGGAGAGGCGGTTAAAACTTTTGAGGATTTAGAGTTATGGGATAATCTTATATTCTGCTACCGGTATGATGACACATAATGGTTATGGAAAAATCGAATCCTCTTATTTCATTTTTACTTCTCACCATTTGTTGCCGAATGGAGTCTCATGTGAGGTACTATGAAAACAGCCTATTGGAGAAGAAAGCAGCAGCTGTTGAACTGATCAAGACACGACTTTCTGAAACACCCAATGACCCCAGGTTATGGTATGTGTTAGGTTTTCTTTTGTTAATTGTTTTAACTTACCAAGAAACCTTATTTTCAAACGTTAGTTAAATTTATCATGCGGTCTCTTCTAATCCATTCAACTTGTAAAAGTTATATTGAGTGCTGATATCCTCAAAATAAATGCAGGTTTTGATATTACCCTTATTCAAAGTGAACTACTAGTAAATTTATCTGAGTATTTTCCTTATTAGTCGGCGTGTTTGAATATGAGAGAGAGGTCTTCCGTTCAAGTCTGAAACCTATTTACCAATCCATGTACAAAATATGAGATATTTTATGTTTGCCCTCCTAATCTTTGTGCATTGTTTTTTAACACACTGTTATCTGATTATGAAAATTGACAAGGCCTTCAACGTCACATATTTTCTGGACTCATTTTCCATGTCCCATTTTTTTTTTGGCAGCATATTGAGGTGCATCCATATCTTTGTGCCATTTATGTAGTCTTACAGAACTTGAAACCAAAGGAACATGCCCAGTTTCAGATTAAAAATATAACCAAGAGTAACACGACTATAGTTTATTTATTTCTTTATGATTTTTAATTTAGTACTGATTTAGGACACAATTATTGTGTTCATATTTGTTTGTCTTGAATCTCTATTTCAATATGGATGGCTCTGAAGTTTCTTTTTATTTATTCCCACTATTGCTGTCTCCATGCATGCCCTAATGCATTTTAAAACCTATAATACATGACATAATAATTTTAAGAGTGAACTCCTAAAATAATTTCTAGGTGCTCATTGGGTGATGTTACTAATGATGATGCGTGCTTTGAAAAAGCCCTGGAAGTTTCAAATGATAGATCAGCTCGAGCCAAGGTTGTGTCCTGAAACTCATTCCTTATGAAAAGACATTCTCAGTCATCTTTCACAGATTTTTAATGTTATTTTTTCTATTTGATAGCGGTCTCTTGCTCGCAGTGCATACAATAGAGGGGACTATGAAAAATCAAAAACCCTATGGTACTTTTTTCGTGTAAAGCCTTCCTCCTGCCTCACTCATCTCAAATATATCATTTGTTTATATGATAATCTTTGTATTTCATAATTGATTTAGATACACAATCACATTCTGCATTCCATATTCCAGGGAGTCTGCAATGGCCTTGAATTCTTTGTATCCTGATGGCTGGTTTGCACTTGGGGCTGCTGCGTTGAAGGTAACTTGTGTGATCCATGATATGTTGCATTATTATTCATTTTATAGGTTGCATGATGTATGGAAATGAGGAAAGTTGTACTGTATACTGCCTTTTTATCTTTATTCCTTCTTACAAGTGTTAAGCTTATTGCTGAGATGATATACAGGCTAGGGATACCGAAAAGGCATTGGATGCTTTTACTCGGGCTGTTCAACTTGATCCTGAAAATGGGGAGGCATGGAATAATATTGCTTGTTTGTATGCCTTCTACCCCTTACTTTGTCTTGTATGTCCTCTCTGAATATTCCTCTTTTCTTTTGTTTGTTTCTTCATCTCTCAATATCGTGATAACATTTTGAGTGTTTTTTTTTGCTTCTGGTTGCACTGGGTGCCGAAACCCATTTGAGCTTTTGAGTTATATTTTACGTACATTCTTATCTTGGAATTAGACTTCTTGATTTTAATGGGGGTTTCAGCTATGTCTGTGAAAAAAGTCTAAAAACTAGAAAATATTGGTAAAGTATTGTCATTATCTTGTAGAATTTTAGCTATTTCTGGCAAAATTCTGTTGTTCCACAATATTTTGCATTAGTTGGATTACTAAAGTGTCCAATAGTGTCTGCTAGCCTTCCTTTTTCCTTGCAATAGTGTCCAATAGTTAGATTTTAAGGTTTAGGGATTCAAACCGATAAACGCCTTCCTCTTTGGTGAGGGGCCTAACCACCACAGTACAAACATCTTTTCTTATAATAACCATGTCTTATACTTGTTAGATAAAATTAACAACACACTTGCAAGACTATGATGTAATGTTATTCAGTGTAGTTCACACAGTAATACACTATTTTTTGATGTGAAATAAACAAACGTACAGTAACCAAATCATATTCTAAACTTAGGTTATTTTATTTTTTGGTTTATAACAGAAAGTAAATACATGATCTTCATTTCAACGAAATTAAATTATTACAAGTGAAAATTTGTTTCACATTTAGTCATATTTCAGTAACTGCTAAACAGTTTGAATGACTAATTTATGATGAATGTATGTGATGTCATATTATTAGTCAGTTTGAAATTTTTTTTTCTTCTTGTATGAATATACAATTTTCGAATGCAAATAATAGAGTGGTCATGATGTCTTAGTTATTATTATTATTTTGGAAAATCAATTCAACTAATTTTTGTTTCTTGCTTTTCCAATTATGCAGGCATATGATAAAAAAGAAGAGTAAAGAATCCTTCATTGCATTTAGAGAAGCTCTGAAATTCAAGTTCTGTCTTCCTCCATTGACTAAACTATCTCTCTCTCTCTCTCTCTCTGTGTGTTTCTCCGTCTCGCATGTGCCCTCCTTCCCTTTTCAAAACTTTATATTTGTTATCGACAGTTTGGATTATGTAATGACTGAACATGACTGATCACAGACGAAACAGCTGGCAACTGTGGGAGAACTACAGCCATGTTGCCGTAGATGTTGGCAATTTTGGTCAGGTAAGTGCCTTCGTCTCAGTAGCATATTTATTTTCACATGTGACAGCTCACAATGTAAACTTGTCTTGGTAGGCTTAGATTTGGTTTGTAAAGTGGTATGGAAACCTTGCCTTTGATTTGGAGCATGGCAAAGGACATTGATGAACTGGAAAGAAAAATTAATTGAAAAAAAACTAGTAAATTTGAAACCCTTGGTCTTTTCTAGAGTTATATTGCATATCTTCATTTATAAGGTCTGAATGTCTACACGTTGTTCACTGCTTCAGATCAACATTCGTGAACTGGAAAAAATAGTTAACAGAAAAAAGCCTAGTAAATTTGAAACGCTTGGTCTGTTGGCAGATCTTCATTGATCAGGTCCACATGTCTACACATTCATGCTTGAGATCACCTACCTTAGGGAATTCCATTGTTATATCCTTTTTCACTTTCAATTTTCTTCACGTGGACTGATTGTGCCCATCATTAAGTATTAGTTTTCAGCTGTTCTTACTCTATTTATTTTTCTTATAGGGTCTAGAAGCTGCACGGATGGTGTTGGATATTACTAATAATAAAAGAATCGATGCTGAATTATTGGAAAGAATTGTGGCTGAGGTCGAAATAAGGGCTGCACATACGACTCCAGATATGACGGATGAAGATAACTGTCCCACTGAGGTGGGAAAATCTCGGGAAACTGAGCACTTAGTAGAGTTCCTTGGAAAAGTTCTACAGCAGGTATGATTTCGTTATTATCATTTCCTTTTGTTTGCTTTGCTTCCCTGACCTATATTTTTACAGTAGATTTTCTACTAACATGAACAGTAACCAGTTGCCCGGTACTGATTGATCATTTCCAATGCTTATTATTAGACTTCTGCATGTGTTTATTGATTATTGTTTTGGTTTAGCACTATTTTCAAAAGCTTAGGGCCCGTTTGATAACCATTTCAATTTTAGTTTTTAGTTTTCATTTTTTGTGCTAGAGTAAAGAGGAAAAAGAGGGAGAATGGAAGTGAGAATGAGAGTGGAGATGGGATTGAGAGGGAAGATTAGAGGATATGATGGAAGGGAGGAGTAACAAAAGTGAAAACAAAGACTAAAAACTGAAATCTATTTCAAATTGTTTTCACTTTCAAGTTTTTGTTTTCACTTTTGTTACTCATTCCTCTCATCCTCCCCTCTCATCCTCTCTCTCAATCTCATCCTCACTCTCATTTTCCTCTATACTCTAGCATGAAAAATGAAAATTAAAAACTAAAATTGAGATGGTTATCAAATTCAAACGGGCCCTATTTTATGATGTTGACCAACTAATGGTCAGGCCCATGTTTTGATTCCATGTGGTCTGAGGTTTGAAAATCCCAAAGGTACCTATCTTGCTTTTGTTAGTGTTTCCTGCCTCCCAAAGATTGTAGGGTTCGGTGGGGTGCCTCTGTTTCAAAGCTTTGTCTGCAAAGCGGCTTGGCAGATTTCTGGGTATAAAAAAAAATGTTGACCAACTATTGGGTGGTTGATATACAGAGATTTGAACTGAAAGGTCTACTTTGATTTTGTTAGTTTTCTACTATTCTCAGAAGCTTAAGGAAGGATGTGGGCCAACAAATTTTTTATTTATATTTTAACATAGGTTAACTTAGTTATGGATTATCATTTAGGGTTTAAAATGTTTATCTATTTATTTTTTGCAATTATGGGTATGGTTAGGGTAGCCTGCTACAGAGGGTGGACAATACTTAGGGACACCCAAGGGTGTGTACCTCCTTGTCCACCCCACCCGTCTCCCGTTGTGATTAACAAATCCTCACCATATGCATGTCATAATTGGAATCATTCATTTTCTAAATTACCATTTAAAGATCATCTCTGCAAAAAATAATCAAAGTGGAGATCGTTTAGTCATCCATATGTATCAATTAAGTGGACAGTTCATCATGAGGATCTTAATTGTTACCAAAAATGTCAGATCACTCCATACTCTCTCTCGACATGTGTAACTTTACTAATAAGAAATTTCTGGGCATTGTTCTAACATTTATATGTTGGATGGAATGTGCCAATCAAATGGTGAAGCCTCTTGGTGTCTTTTCAGTATATTTACGACTCTCTCTCGACATGTGTAACTTTACTAATAAGAAATTTCTGGGCATTGTTCTAACATTTATATGTTGGATGGAATGTGCCAATCAAATGGTGAAGCCTCTTGGTGTCTTTTCAGTATATTTACCTAAAAAGTAATGTCTTTTTTGGTCGGGGGTAAAGTAATAAGTTGCATGCAATATTTTCCTTTTTTCTTTTTGTAGATAGTTCGAAGTGGAAATGGAGCAGATATTTGGGGTTTGTATGCAAGGTGGCACAAAATGAAAGGAGACCTTACAATGTGCTCTGAAGCCTTATTAAAGCAAGTTAGATCATACCAGGTATCTCTAGCAGTGACTTACTAGTTTTAAGTTTTTATTTACCATTATGATTACTTTTTTAGTGCTTTATAATTTTTGTTTTCTTAATCTTTTGAAAATTGGTTTATAGATGTGCTAGTAATACTGAGAGTATTTCTACACATTTGCGGGGCAGTTGTTAGGGACTTGCAGTATCTTTCCAAGTCATGGTTATCTCATTCTCCCTTTACTGATTAATTTTAATTCTACTAATGTTGAATATAAACCAACTATTAAAACTGTCCCATTGTACCATCTGTGTCGTGACTGAGGCATGTGCATTGCCATCATCCTTATCTCACCATTTTGAACATCATAATGTGATAAATTCATCACTCATTGGTTCAGGGGCTCATTGCAAACTGTGATGAATATAACATGATGAGTTTTCTATTTATTATTTTGCTTTAGATATTTCCTTTTTCCATTTCATTTGTACTTAATATTTGTCATTAAATGCCAATCTAAAACCAGTTATGGTCCCTTTATAATGCTTATATAATCACAAGGATATATTGTCAGGGATCTGATATGTGGAAAGATAGAGATCGGTTTAAGAAGTTTGCTCAATCATCCTTGGAACTCTGTAAGGTGTATATGGAAATTTCTGTGTCTACTGGTAGCTGTCGTGAACTTCTTACAGCAGAGATGCACCTAAAGAACACAATTAAACAGGCAAGATACTTGGTATTTCAGAAAAAGTTAACTTTGAGTATTATAATTTCCGTTCCTATTTTCATTTATTTACTTAGCTGTATAATACAAATATTTTCTATCACTAGTAATTTCATTTATTCAGATTTTTATGCTATACATATTCTGACTAAATAAACACATTTGGGTAATCTCAGGCTGTGAGTTTCTCAGACATGGAAGAACTTCAGGATCTTAAAGCTTGCCTTCATCAAGTGAAGTCAAAACTCGAATCTGATTCCCTATGTGCTTAGAACTTCATTTGGTGTTTGCGTAATTAGAATTTTCAGTACAGTTTTATACAAGGTTAGTCCTGCTCTTACATATCTTGGTTCATATAATTCAGAGAGAGAAGGATTGGGGTTGGGAGGAATTAGAGGAGGAAGGCGTGGGTTGCAGCAATGGAGGAAGGGGAGGGTTGTGGATGAATTTCCGAATTTACCCTCACTTTTGACAGAAAATTTAAGAGAGTTTGACTTGGGACCGATGATGTAACACACCACCTAATTGGGTGACCTCTGTAACTATTTTTGGAGTTGAGTGACCAAAATGTAACTTCGAGTATAGTTGAGGGACCATTGCTACAATTAAGCCTTTTCTAAAATCTACTTAAAACTGTGTAGAATAGTTGTTTTGGTCGATGTTTTGGGTACCTAATGATGACCTTTTTGACATATTAAACTCTTGACTAGAAGATATCTATTGCTTCTCGTATTGTTATTGTCTAATGAGTCTTTGAACAAAATGTTAAGTTACACACTCCGTGCATAGGCAAACATATGACACTTTGCCTTTTAACTTTCAGGAGCATGAAGCCAACAATAACGTATGCAATCGGAATGTGGTGGCTTTTTGCTGGATGACCATAAGTTCACATCCAATACAGAGTTCATGTAGAGATAATCTTTTTCCTTTTCTGCGTAGAATTAGTCAACATATCTGTTTGATTAGCCAAATGTAAAGAACCAGTTCACTCATTGCAGCGAAGAAGTAAAAAGAGATTGAAACTAGCAGCTAGTTGAATTTGCTTGTAATTTGAAGTCTAAAATCACCTTATTTTATAAAAAGTCTAAATTGCATTAAAGCTGTAGCTTATTGACGTTCTTATATGATAGTCTTCAATCTTGTTATTGCACTGCAAGCTCTCTTAAACACTCTTACAACATAATTCAATTGTTGGAAGAGATGGTGACAGGCCAAAGATAAATCTCAGAAGGTATTGCCAGGTAATTCAAGAAAACCTCAGTAAGGCATTGCTAACCAAAACGCTTTTAGTTATTAAGGAGGATGTTTGAAACACATGTGACTACAATCTAATGGACGAAATTGCAATTGCCTTTTCGTTTTGTAGCACCTGCAAGTGAGCTAGTTGTGACAACCCATGATGCTAAAGTTGCAAGAACGATGGGAGCCACTCAATTTCATAAGATATTAGCAGAAGATGATTGTAGGGAAATATTTGTGCAACATGCATTGAACGTTGGGAATTGCATACCGCCAAAGGTTTTTAGTATCAGGAATAGGTCAGAAGATTATATTAATTGCGGGCGTCTCACTATTAGCGCATGAAAAAGCTTAATAAATTGAATGAATGACTGAAACTTCATTAACGTAACCTAACTTTTCAGACAAGTCACTGTGAATTAAGTGATCATCTGGTTCAATATAGGTGTTTTTTTAATGCATGTATATCGTCAAAGAGGAGTTAAACAGTGGCATATCTTGATTGAAATCAATGAATAATACAAAAACTGCGAAATTGTTCTAAATTGAAGGCACTGCCTACAAACATGAGGAATTTAATTAATTTGCGCCATCTCAACCATTCAAATGTGCCTTCATTGGAAGGAATGCCTCCGCAACTAGTGGGCAAAGATGGTGAGTCAAGGGTAACAGAGATAGGTCCCTCACTGCATCTTCAAGGGACATTGTGCCTCTCAAGATTAGAGAATGTAATTGATGCGGAGGATGCGAAGTGACACAGCTGAAAAGGAATCAGAGGTTCTGAACATGTTAAAACCTCATAGAAATCTCAAAGAGCTCATGATCAAGGGTTATGGTGGTTTGCAATTTTCAAAATGGAGATACTTTATTCACTAATGTAGTTCTTGTAAAGTCAGAGAATCGTAGTAACTGTCGATTCTTGCCACCCCTTGGACAACTGCCTTCTCTCAAAATGCTTTATTTAAGAAGAATGTCTGGAGTGGAAAGTGTGGGTCTTGAGTTTTATGGAGAGGGAAGCTTGTCTTTTCTGCTATTGGAGACCCTTGAGTTTGAGGATATGCAACTTTGGAGGGAATGGTATCCTTGTGAAGGAGATCAAGGAATTAGAGTTTTCCCCTACTTGAAAACCCTTTCGATCAATAGATGTCCCAAGCTAGAGGGTAAGTTACCTGAAAACCTTGATTCATTAACAAATCTTATGGTTCATGATTTTGATCAGTTGCCGACTATAAGCATCTTTGTGTATTCAATGTCCATAATTGCAAAGCGGTGGTGTATAAAAGTGAGATTGACTTCGAGTTACTGGAGTCTGTCTGTGTTTCAAAACTTACAGAGTTGAGGCTTCAAACTGAGGGATTCATGACAGGATGATTAAGAAAGGTTAAAGAGTTGCTGGCTGCTAACATGACATCTTCATGGCAATGTGAAGATAGATTACTGCCAACCTGATATCTCTTCGCAGTTTGCTTATTCAAAGTAACTCTCAAATTCTTCAATTGCATCACTTGACATCACTTCAATCACTTCACATATATAAATGCCCAAGTCTAGTTTATATTCCAGAAGCTAGTTTTCCACCTTATGTTGAAGAAATAAAGATTGACCTCTGCAATTCTATGATGTATTTTGCAAGATCTCATTTACCAACAATACTTAGACATGTACGAGTCATCTCTGGCATCCTTATCATCCAGGGGCCAGCTACCCAGATCACTTAAATTCCTTTGCATAAGGGATTGTGAATAGATGAAGGCAATAACTGAAAGTTTTCATGGTAACACTCGTTTTGAGGCTATTATAATCGAGCGCTGTGCAAATCTTAAATCCTAAATCCTTACCTGAGGGCCCATGCCACCTTGCCAATCTTCGATATTTATTAGTTGATTATTGTACGAGTCTTGTTTTCTTCCCGAGAGGAGGGTTGCCAACAAGATCCTCCAACCTGACATTCATCTCTATCGTGGGTTGTGATAAGTTGGAAGCTCTCCCCAGAGGCATGGACAAAGACAACCTCAACTCTCTTCAGACATTGACCAAAGGCATGCATGTTATAATCATAACAGTGTAACTTAATTTGACATGCATGAGTAAAGTACTACCTCAGTTTGACTATAATATTTTCAACCTTGTGGTGTGGAATGTACTTGAGGAGCAATGTACTTGGAAAGCACTTTTCGTAGTCAAGTCCTAATCTCTTTAGAGTGAGTGATGACCAGACTTTGGAGAGTACATATGAGATTTGGTGCGTATTTGGGGTTCTTTTTTTAAAGGAGCAATAAAAGCAGAATATTTGATGATTAACTGTTGGAACAGCTTCTCTTCTGTTGGCAAAATGTTTTGAATTTTTTCTTGCCCTTTTAGAGGTCTCGCCATGTTTTATTTTTCAATTAAAATTTCACAAATTTCACTCAATAGTTCTTATGAATATATTTTGGGGGTACTGGAATGACCAATGTTCAGAATAAATTCCACTTTATCACTTCTAAACTATGAAAAAGATGAAGCCAACTTAAGTTAATCCCCAAATTACATGTTAATTCGTTAGCACGCTAGTTGATAATTAGGATCAACAAAGATACAGAGGTGATGTGTGCTACAAAAGGATTTCACTTACAATCAAACCCTTCAACCAGCCATAAACATGTAAAGTTCCTACGAATTTCTGCAAAAATTTCGCACTGTACATAAAAGCATGCTCTTTGCCAATCTCCACATTATATACTTCTCCATCCCACAAGCAGCACCAACAAACATCACCACACAGCTAATATGAATTGTATTGAGGCTTTGGTTATTGGTTTCCCTTGACCGAAGGGGCTGGATTAACTAAAATATCTAGCAGATTGACCAATTACGCAAAAAGAACATCCGCATGGGATCGCTGCTAAGCATACTACTCATCCATATTTGTTTCTTCAGAACTGCTTTCAGGTGGCACATTTCTGTCACCGCCACCAGATTCCACATCTGTTCCCCCATTTGAGTGGTTCTCGAGTGATGACTCCAGATTTTGACCATTTGCAAGGACATCCATTTTTGTGTCTTCTTCCAAATTGCTTCCATGCTGGGTGTTATCCTCTGGTGCCCCATCGGAAGTTACAGGTATATCTGTATCCATGGGATGCTGCCCGGATATCGACTTTTGCTGAGTTGTTTGCTCCTCAGATGCATCTATGGATGGAGCTACTCGACCTGAGTAAGCCATGTACTGATGAAACTTTACCTGGCAAAGAGAAGAAGAAAGCTTTCAGAAACCAGATAATGAAATTCCAACCAACTAGTAAGATCATGGGGCAAGTCTTTTGCAAGAGAGTAAGTCCTCATCAGCCAACAGGCCAGATTTAGCTTTTTCTCTACTGATTACTAATTCAGAAATATCGATGGCAGTCAAATGTTGAAATATAATATAATCTGAAAGGGGGGGGGGTGGTGATCTAAAGGCACAAGAGAGAGAGATGGCCCCATGTCATCTCACTAATATTCTCCTAGGTAACCTAACTAGGAGACCAACTCACTCAAATTGAGGTTTGAAACTCTTAAAGAAAACAGATTATAATTGCATGGAAGGCATACCTCATAAAGCTGTTGGTAGATACCAATCATCTCATCAACACTGCTGACAAGATGCATAGGACCAGTGTCTTCAACGTGGCGTTCTGTGTTTGGTGAAATCTCATTCAAATTAAGAGCAAGGTGGTCAGGTCTCTGAAGTAGAAGTTGGAATGTGGGCTGAAGTTCGTAGCATTGCTCAAACAAAGAACGGCGGCAGAACACATAGAGACCCAGTCGGGCACGAGACATGGCTACAATCAATCTTCTAACATCACGAAGGTGACCCACAAAGCGAGTACGCACAAGAGAGAGCAATATGAAATCATTTTGCTGACCTTGAAATTTATCAACTGTTGTAACCTGAGAGCATTACAAAATGAAAAACATTTTTCACCAATGAGATCAGAGAGCTCGACAGAAACAGTATTATACTAAATGCAATCACCAAGTGTAAAAAGCGAAAAATGTTAGCAGAGTTCATGGGTCAGGATGCAGGAAATTTATCTCTGGCATAGCTCACCATAGAGGCCTAAATGCATTAACAATACCATGTAAAGAAACCTTCATAGTTCCTGGTGTTTTGTTCTGAGGGGATCAAAGAGAACTAAACTAACCTACAGAGCCAACAACTCGCTGACAGACCTTTGAATTTCACAAATGGACGGTTAGATTCTTATATGTTTGGTGTGGTGTGCCTGTTATTTAATATAATATATTGCCATTCTAGCCCATTTGTGAAGTGAAGGGGTGATCTTATTACTTACCTTGCTGGGAGGGCCTATGAAGTCATAGGGAGCACATCGTCTGTTGATAACATCACGGATTAAAAGCTTCTGGCCATTGTAAGTGGTCAATATGGATATCTTATTTGCAGGGTACCCAAGTAGACGCATATAGATATAGACACTGACAACGTATTCTGCTTCCCCCTCGTTTTGGTAGAACCAAGGTGATGGAGCAGACTCACCTCTGTCATGGTAATCTGGTACATCCACTAATTGATATTCATAGGAGAACCCAGAATTTGCTCTATGGAAAATGGCATCCTCCTTTACATAAGGAAGGTCTCCCAGATCTCTATATCTCCAGTTGTACAGTTTGGCTATACTTGGCCTGGCTCTACCCTGGGCATTAAGTTCAATATAAGGAATGCCCAAACGGACAAACCTTGTAAAGAGAGACTGGTCCATGTGGCTGTACTTTTGGAATGCCATGTTCTTG